AGGGTGGGTGGTGGTGGGTGGGTGGCAGTGGGTGGGTGGCAGTGGGTAGGGTGGGTGGGCTCAAGAAACTGAAAGAGCTGCCGTGTCCTGAGCAGGAGGAGGGAGATGCGGGGACGCAGCGGGGACAGCCAGCAAATAGATCATCCTCTACCGGGCATTGCGCAGCGTGTTTGGATGTTTTGATTTTTCTTTTTTGTTTGCAGGCAGCAGTAGCGGTCTTCATCATGACTTTCATGACAACATTTACGTGCTGCTGCGGGGCAGGAAGCGCTTCAGACTCTATCCGCCAGACACCGCGCCCAACATGTACACGTACGGCAAGTTGGCCCGCTTGTACGACAACGGCCGCATCGTGTACGAGGGCCAGGTGCGACGTTTCACCATCCGTGGTATTGTACTGTATCGTATCATATTGTATTATATCGTACTAAGCTATTGTACGGATGGATAGGATATGCAGGTGTTAAGAGAGGGATGAGGAGGGGGGAGGGGGAATCCCTGTTGAACATGTACGGCACATGTGTATGTGTGCGTTTGTGTATGACGAGAGGACTTCATTATTGTCCTCCCTCGCAGGGAGACGTGCTGCCGGACGGTACGGACGCAGCTGACGTGGCAAGATGGCGTCGCCGTACGCAGGCTGAGGCCGCAGTTGCGGAGGCTGAGGCCGCAGTTGCACGAGGCGAGCCGGTGGGTGCCTTAGTGCTGCTGGCGGGCGGGGCCCCCTGCCCCCACAGACAGACAGACAGACAGACAGGTAAATGCACACGGGACCTCACTTTCCTCTGACCCTTCCCCACACACCACCACTACCACCCGCCGTTCCAGGGAGCTCGGAGCCGTTTAAAGCGCTCTGAGGCGGCGCTGGAGGCCGCGCTGGAAGCCGAGCTCAGTGACTTGCTCGAAGAGGAGGAGGAGGAGGATGGAGATGATGATGAGGACGACGACGACGAGGAGGAGGAGGAGGAGGAGGAGGAGGATGGCAAGGTCGGTTCCCAGAAGCGGAGGCGACGTAAGGAAGGGGGCCCGGCAGCGGCGGCGGGGGGGAAGAACAAGCAGGACGGCGACGGTGACGGTCTGATTGTGGACCCGGAGGCGCCGCCGAGTTTCAGTCGTGTGCCGCTAGGTGACCCGCGGGTCAGCGACGCTCAGCTGGCGGCGGACTTCCCTCGCTTTCCCGGCCGGGCGGCTGCGCTGGAGGTGACGGTGGAGGCGGGCAACATGTTGTACCTGCCGGCGGGTACGTGTGATGGGATCGTGTGGGCCGTGTACGGAAGGAAAACGTGTACGAAAAAGTCGTGTGTAAGGCAATTTGTTGTGGGGTATTATGGATGTGGTTTATTACGTGGTGGTTGCTGCTGCTCTACCCGATCTGTCCGGTAACCGGTTGCCTGGACCCAAGAACATCCTTACGTAATATTGCTAGTCAAACCGGCGGTGTTGCCGTCGCCGTACATCCCCCGCGGGAATTTCGGATTCAGGCTGGTTCCACGAGGTGACGTCGTACGGATCCGCCGGCGGGCCCGACGGCGGCCATCTGGCCTTCAATTACTGGTTTCACCCGCCGGACAATCTGGATCCAAGCCGCCGTGGATTCCGGGCGCCGTACAGTTCCGACTTCTGGCCGTCCTTGTGGCGCGCACGGGTCTCCGAGGGGCTCCCCGGGGGGTTAGAGCCCGGGGGCCTGGGTGCGCAGCCGCCGCCGCCGTCGCCGTCGCCGCCGTCGGCAGAGCTCGGGAACGGAGCGAACGGAGTGGCGGGAGGGGAGGACGATATGGAGGCAGCAGCGGCAGCAGCGGAAGGAGGGCATGGAGGAGGGAAGCGCAGGCGGCAAGGGTTGCCGCCAGTGGCTGGCGGCGGCGGCGGCGATGACGACGAGTCGAAGAAGCAGTCGCCGAAGCCGCCGGGGGGAGAGTCCCCTGGTGGCGGCGGCGGCGATGGTGACGATGATTTAGATCCGCCACGTCGACAGCGACGACCCGCCGCCGCAGCCCGGGCCCTTGTGGCCAAACTGGCGGCGATGGGCGATGGCGGCGGCGGCGGCGGCGAGGCGCAGCTGAGCGAAGAGGTACGGCACACGGCATGGCACGGCTGGATGCGGTACCGCGTTGGGCCGCATGGGCGCCTGTTGAGTTGCAGCCGCTGCCGGCTGTCTCTAACAATCTGTCTGTCTGTATTTAAAATGTTAAACCTTCCTTCTTTATTGAATTCGGGTTAAACACCATTTGCGTTTCTTTTGGATTTCTTCATGCAAATGCAAACCCTCCATCTCCTTTATTTTTTGATAACTCGTATCCTCAACAAAGCACATCGGTATGCCTCCCTCGGTAACCACAACGCTAACGTGTAACCCTGTCACCACCACCACCACAACCACAACCACAACCACAACCACCTGGAAATAGGATTACCAGTTGCTGATGGCGATGGAGGCTGCCCGCCGCCGTAACGCCGCCATCCAGGCCATGAGAGCCTTCTTTGAGAAGCAGATGAAGCTGCAGCGCTACCGCCGGTTGAGATCCAGACTGCCGCCGGGCCGCCGCCACCACCCTGTCGTACCCGTCAGTGCGGAGGTACGGAACTGGAGGCCGTTGCAGCTGGTGACGGCGACGGTGACGGCGGCGGAGTTACAGCACTCGCAGCCGATAGCGTCTCAGAGTCAGCAACTGCAACAGCAACAGAAAGTACGGCAGCAGGCGGGGCAGGGGCAGCAGCCGCAGACGAAGACGGGGGGCCAGGAGGTGGAGGAGCAGGTGTTGGGTTCCAAGCGTGCGAGGTCATCGGGACGGCGGTGATGAGGTCTGGTTTGGGTGATTGGGGGGGTGAGGGGAATGGTTTTGTGTTTTTTTGATGTTGATGGGTTGACGGAGAGGTGGTGGTGTGTTGTTTGTTGGTTGGTCGTGACTGATATCGCGACTATATCCGGAGGTTCGGGGGATGGGTTGTGTGAGTTGGGGGGGTGATCGGCAGGAAAACAACGCCCACAGCTGTCTTAATGCGGTCGGGGGAGGGGAGGGAGATGGCGGTGAAGGGTTGTGTGGGGAGGTGGTAGACCTGCACGCGCGCTCTGCTTCCCGCTCCTCCTCGCGTCGGGAAGTTCTGCTCTTCACGTTATGTTCAGTTGGCGGCCCCCCCGGGACTCCACGACGTGGAGGGTCAAGGTCGAGGTTGTGGACCGTGAGGAGAACGAACGACCTGAGGGGCGCGTGTGTGCCCCGCTGCCTATATGCTCTGTGTGTGTGTGTGTGTGTGTGGTGGACTAATCGGTTGGTTGGTTGTGTTGGTTCGAGTTTTGCTCTCTACTTTCCTACCTACCTAGCTACCTACTTACCTTGGACACCAACAGGTCCGACGTGTTTCTTAAGACAACGTCCTCAGCATGACGTGTTGACGATATGAGGCGACGCAACGCCGGTGAACTCAATACCCGCGTAAAGACCCTCTCTGATAATGGTATATACTGATTTTCCGTTGACTTGTGTTCCAATAGATATTTTCCCGTAGCTTCCGTAAATCCGTAGTTTTTCCTACACCATATGTATGAGACGGGGCCTTTCATCAGCATGCTGCATGCAGCAGGTAGGATGAACGCGGATGAGCGGCAACGCTAGGGAAACATATCTGCATCATACCTGCAGCATATGCTGCTGAAAGCCCTCCGTCTCATATGGTGTAGGAAAAGGATCAGGTGGTGCAGGCAACTATATCCCTCGAGGTCAAGCCAGTGTCGCAGGGAAGACGAGCGGACGATACTCCGAGACCTTTCAACAGCCACGTCAACGAAGAGCAAGAAGCTTACTAAGCGGCTTACTTTGCCGCACCCGCCAGGCAGTGCCGATGTTGCTGTTCATCCAGCTCGTTGATACATGATAGGGTCGGTGCGGATGGTGACGATGGTCGCGATGCCGTTAACCCGAGAGCGCATGTGGCGTACTGTGTACGGCAGGCAGGGGCAGAAAGCAACGTGCATGCGATGATGCGACAGAGGCATGTTCCAAACGTTCGTACATACGTACATGAATACATACCGTACACAGCGCGGTGTACGATAGCAGCATACCACTTTAAAACTAACCACCATCACGACCATCATAACTTTCAGATGTTCCGCTAAAGACATCTCGTCGATCAAGATCGGCATTTCATGGCGGTGTCATACTCGCTCGTAAATTGTATATACAGACCCAGCGAGGCAGCAGGGGTGGGAGTGCCAAATGAAGTCGAGAACCGGTAACGGAGCGACAAACAACACTCTTGCTCAGCCACTTTCGCCTCTGTCTACACAGGTAAACATGAACACACACAAACACACAACCCCACTCATCACTAGCGTGTGTGTGTGTGTGTGTGTTACATGGTTGGGGGTGCGTGACCCCATACCTGTAAGACTACTACCCCCCATACGAGCCGCGAAGGCCCAAGGGCAATACTACAACGCCAAAAAGCCACGGAGGAAAGGAAAACACCGCATCATCACTAGCAACTAGCATACCATTCCAGGAACTGCAATCCCAACATAACACACATAAACCAGCGACGATTAACGGGATCGCAAAGACTCTTAAAGGATACCGTCGTTTCAGCCGAGCTCCTCATCCACTGCCGATATCGGCACTAGCATTGGCCTCTTAGATGGAGTCCGGCTTATCCGGTGCTGCTGCCGCAACGGCGCCCTCACCCCCTGCCCCTGCCCCTGTCCCTGCCCCCGAATTCCCCCCCGCGGTCGTCGCCTCCGCTGCCGGCTGCGACGGCTCGGAGGACGGTGACGGTGTCGTACACTCCGCTTTGTGGGCTGCCCAGTGAGCTCGTTGGCATTCTTTGGAGCAGTACCGCGCCTGAATACATACATACATACGGACATACGGCCCGGAACGATGTGCAACAGAAACAAACATACATACACACACATACATTTACATACATACATAACATACATACATACACCATAGGCAGGCGGCTGGCAGAGGTTAAGGCCTGACTTCTGCTCCCGGCCGACCCGGGTTCAAATCCGCCTGCCGGCTCCTCGGGTGTTTGAGGAGTGTTGAAATGGGAGGTGGCCCCCCATCATATGGACGATGTAAGATGTGATAAAATCAACTTGCAAGCTGACCGGGAAATAAGTTGATGCGCCGTTGATCCGCTTGATTTGGTTGGATGCTGGTGGTGAGTTGCCGAACCCAACGAATACATTCTGAAGTCGGATGGGGTGAATGGATTAGGGTGCCACTCTAGCAGGGGAGAGCAGGGAACTGCCTCCAAGGGAAAGGGGGCCGCTGGCGAAGTTAACCACCCTGTAACAACATACACACACCTGTCGGCACCTGGCGCACTTTTGCATCTTGGTGGATGGTACGTGACAGCTGTAGCAAATACGTCCTTTAAAATAGTCCGTCAACATCACCTGCGTGCATGTGGTGGTGCCCGTGTGTGTATTGGTTGGTTATGAACACGAGCACGCGAAAGCAAGCGGCACAGACGCTGCACGAACGGCGGCCCTGTAGGACACAGCGCGGGGGGAAAAGGACAGCGGAAGAAAGGAAAAAAGACACACACACACACACACTGTGGAGTACACAAGCGTGCGGTGTCGAGAATGCCCCCTCCCGCCGCTACTGCTGCTCCTCCCACCCCACCCCCGCCCCACCCAAGCCCCACCCAAGCCCCACTCCGCACGCACCTCCGCAGCGCGAAGCACCTCGCTGCTTCTTGGGGTGCTTCCTCCCCCTCCCCCCGGGGGAAACTTCCTTCTTCCCCTTTGCCGTACAAACCCACCTAAATCTGTTCGGCATCGGGAGGTGGCCCGGGGTGAGGTGGCCCGAAGGCGGCGGCTATGACGTATTCCCTTGCTGGCAAAACACCCACGTCGGCATGGGAGGTATGTTGTTCCCTCGCCTCCCTTGTTGCGGAGGAGGAAGGGGAGGAGGGCGACCTGCTGATACAACGCAAGCCCCCCGGCGATCGGTTGTCGCCATCGTACAAGATCGGTATCACACACCTGGCACGCGTGGCCACCATACCTACCTACCTACCTACCTACCGCCCATCCATCCGCCCTGCCCCTATCCCTCATCCACCTCCCCCATCCCTGGCACACCCACCCTCCGGGGCCAGGTGGCTGGAGTCGTCCGGGGGCAGCTCGTACTTGGCCGCCCATTCCGGTGGAATAACCTCATCAGGCACCCCGCCGCCCTCACGTAACGCCCGCAGCTTGCAGGGCCGCTGACCACACGCGCACCGCACCACACGCGGCTGCTGGCGGCCAATGTCACCATAGCAGGTGAGGAAGGGTGTCGTACTGGGGTGGCGCCACTTGGTTTCGGGGCGCTCCGGGGGGTGCAGGTGGTCTACGCTGACGTACATGGCGCCGGGACAAGGTACCGGCCCTTCCTCGTCGCATGGGGCTGAGGGAGCGGCGGGGGAAGGGGTGACGCAGGTTGTACTTCTATAGGTAGGGGCCCTACTGAGGACGCGAAGCCAAAGTTGAAATTTCCAATTTCCGCACATTTGAGGAGACAGATGGACCCAAGCCAGGTTACAGTCAGTGCTACGAACGCCCGGAATATTTAACTTTTTGCCAGGATCATGCAACCATACCATCGCCAACTGCCCAACTTGTCAAATACAATATGCTATGGCTGGGTTGGCGGCGCAGCCTTGGGCCATGGTTAGGTTTTCCCGTTGGTCACAGGAAATTCCCATATGTAATCTAAAATTACCTTCTGTGCATGTATACAACTTGCCACTTACCGAGAAGTATCAGGTCCGGCCGATGTGGAACATACCAAAGCTGCGAAGCCGCCATCGCAAGAGGTAACACAGCTAAGCTCGAGGGGACACTGGAAATTTAATTGCAGTTTAACCTTGGAGATTGTACCTGCTGATTAACGAGTACTATGAACACTTGATTTAGGCTTGGCCGCGAGCTTCAAAGTTGAACTACTTGTCATGCAGAACAGTAAGCCTGTAACATAATCAGGCCACTGCATGTGATGTCACAAGCATCAAGGATGAGTAATCTATTCGAAAGGGAGTTAGTCCGTACAGTAGAGCGTTTTCGCGACAGGACGCAAAGTCGTCGACATCCAGGCTATATGTACATCTTCACTAGCCCATTGCACATATACTTCGGGGCATGAGGGTTCTGTCATATCGTCCGACGACGGCCAAGTGTCAGCATATGTATGCTCCACAATGTTCAAGCTTAGATAATCGAGATTTCTCAGAAAGCGAAGCTTTTCTTTCAATTATCACAATCTTATTCATTAAGATAATAAACAAACAGATGCGGTGCTGGACAGTCACGCCGATAGGCTCTAGTCAAGATGCGCTGCAGTGCACAAGACGGGGGCAACCCAAATGCTGACCTTGGCAACGGTGAAACTTGTCGTCGTGTACGGTAGTGAAATTCCAACGCTATTGGCGGATGTCCGCTGTGTGGGTTAACACATGTTAACGGCCGGTACGATCAGAGTACCTAACATGCATGCGCTGTTGGAGGGTATAGGGGAAACAGCAGCCGGGTAGGAATCCGGGTTCAAAAAGGGGGAAAAGCCTGGGAAAGAAAAAAGACTTCAATGACCGAATCCACACGCTGTAACCCCCCCACACACAAAAAAAAAACATGCACCCGCGAATCCATGGATTCATACAGCTACACATACATTCCCCCTCCGGCCATCATCTCCTTAAAAAATTGAGATGATGATGACGATGTGGTACGATGATTATGGACAGAAGGCGCTAGGTAAAAATGCCCCACCAGAGGTCCCTCCCCTCCCCCCCCCCCGCACACACACACACACACACACACAAGCACCACAATTCATATATGTATGTATGTACGTACGCATTTGGTCAAGAGGCGCAAAAAGAATTGGGCCCCTACCAAGCAAGGAACTGCCGACTGCAAACCGCCCCATCTACGCCTTGCAACCCCAAAATTGCAATTGTACAGCAATGTACGTGTCTCGCACCATCACCGCCGCCATCGCCACCACGCCCACAACGACCCGAACCACGAGCCAGAACGGACCCAATCAGCACATACATACAGACATACATTAACTACGGTGGCTGCAACAACGGCAAAAAGCAACGGTGGTGTGCAGAGCAGAGCAAGGACCCGTCGCCAACCAGTTTTACGATTGCTTGTATCAACAAACTTGGCCACAAACTCGCACAATGCACGCTTCGACTTTAAATCCTATCCTGCTACTGTTGCTGCTGCTGCTGTTGCGGCTGCCCTACCCGCCAGATGGTGGCAAAAGAAAACCCCCACTCCGCAGCACGGCCACAAGGCCTCCTCCTCCACACTCCCCCCTCTCCCACTACCCCACCACTGTTTGGTCGCCCTCTCCGCCTCCCCGGGCCGTCCCAGGCCGTCCGCCGCTTCAAAGTTATGCACACTAGGCACGACCGACTACCATCTACCTCACCTGCCCGCCAAATTCACCATTCCCCAGCCTCACCATCCCCCAAACACACCAGCACGGTGTGTGCGTGGATGCCGTACGTTTAATGCTAACAACGACCTCAGAAGCTAAGGGTGAATTCCAGTAGTCCCGCTAGTGTGTGTTGCTGCCAGGGGGGGGGCCTCTCCCCCTTGCCGTACCAAGATTCATTTCCCGGACGCGACGTAGCAACCAGGCCACATAGCTCCGAGCCACAATATGCGACATGAGTCGGCACATAACACACACACATACATACATACATACATACATACATACATACATACATACATACATACATACATACATACATACATACATACATACATACACACCCCATATTCGTAACATTACACCACCACCACCACCACCACCACCACCACCACCCCTGCCACAAACAGCCACCACCAAACAGTAGTTTTCTGGACCGTCCTTTTTTCACGTTCCTGCTCCCCCCTTCCCACGTCCGTCTAACCACCAGCATCGTCTCTGCCCCCACCACGTTTATCATGGCGCGGAGATACATCCCCGGAGTCAATTCATCACAGGTGTCAATTCCATGTCAACGTCAACACAACACAGCAATCTGGCGATGTGCATGTCTCAAGGGGGACGAGAGCACCGGGGTGGGGGGGGGGAAAACAGCACCCTCCCATCCTGACCGACTATAACCCCCAAAGGGGGGAGCGCAAGGCAGGGGACGATACACCCACTATCTCCCGGGTCGTACGGCTGTACAGCTGTACGGCAGCTAGGCAGTATTCTCACAGAGTCTTGACCGGTCCCCGAACCTTCCCCTCTTCGTGTGGTTCGGCACGGCACGGTCCGCTCACCACCACCTGGCTCTAGCCGCCTCACGCAAAGCAGTCTGTTCGCTTCTTGGCTCCGGAGGGGAGGCTATCTGTCTGTCTAGGGGGGGAAGGAGGAGGAGGAGGAGGCAGCAGGACGGGAAAAACACACACGCACACACACAGACACACAAACACAAAAAGTCCACTGCAATGTTTTTCCTCACTGGTAACGCATCACCCACGGGGAGGAGGGAAAAGAAGAAGACAGAAGGCAGCTGAAGCCCCACCTACCTAGCCCAGGCCAAGGCCCCCCATACGCCCCCCTCCAACAGCAAGGCCGACATACACACCGATACACGCGCACACGCAAAAACACATGTGCTCCAAGAAGTAATACAAAAAAACAAACACGTGCAGACAGCAACCTATTCATAAGACACGTAATCTAGGTGAGCAATAAAGAGAGAGTGGGAGGCAAAAGACGCGCGCACAGCTACACGTACTGGTTAGCCACAATTAACAAAGTACGGCAATTTCCAAACTGTATTGGCACAGCAGTGCGGTGACCAAAACACATCCCTCAAAATGCGGGTGGGTCGGACGATGGCTACGTCGTACCCACGACGTAAGTACAGGGTCGTGTACGTGATCCTCCCGCCAAGGTTTTTGATTTCCCCGCCAAGTCCCGGTCCGTATTAACCAACCGTTTAACTATGCAGTACAGTCGTACAGCGACAACAATACATTCTATCCACACATACAAGCAAATGCAGACATATACAGACACACACGCAGTTATATACGCGCAAACTTTGCTTGGCTGATGCAAACAGAAATGCGTGTGCGTGCGCCCTTTGTTCTGAGCAACCCGCCTCCCCCCAGGTCTTTGTTAGTCCAGTACCTGACTGTCCACTTCACTGCAAAGGAAAGACACACACACACCTGCAACAACCAACCGCCAACCGAACCAACCGACCCGCATCCCTTGGTGTCCAGAAAAGAGGGACACCTGAATCCTGTCGCTCCGTGTGCGTATGCATGTATGTAAGTATGTATGTACGTCACCTTACCATTGCCGCCAGTCTCCAAAAGCCTCGCTACGCACAAAAACACATAATCCTAAAAACCCTATGAAATCCCCTAAGGGGAAATCCCCTAAGGCGGCTCTTAACAAGGCGCCTTAGGGGATTTCCCTAGGGGTATGGTGACTCTTTTCTAAGTTAAGGAATTCCCTCTAGAAAATGTCTTCTCTCTGGTTTTGCTTCACACGCCGCCCCGACCGCGTCGTGGTGACACCCGAGGGGTCCGCGGAAGGTTCCCGACTCCGCTTTCCGCCGATCCCTCCCCCCCCCGCCGCCGCCGCCGCCGCCAGCTGCCGCCGCGTCGATAGATGATGGTACGGCATGGCTGCTTGCAGCGACGCAGCCCGCGCCACCGCCGCTGGCGGCTCGTAGCCATCGTCCGATGCCGGCTCACCGCCGCCGCCGCCGCCACCGCCGCTAAGTACGACACCCGCGCGCATGCAGACGGGGCACAGCCAGTCGCCTTCCGGCACGTCGGCTAGATCAGCGCACGACAGGTGCATGGCGCGATTGCAGCCGCTGCCGTCGCAGCAAAGGAGCTCTCCCTCAAGCCCGCAGCGAAGGCAGAGCCCCGTCCACTGGGGCGTAGAGCCGATGCCGATGAGGGAGCCGTCGTCGTACGCGTCGGAGGACTCAGCGGCGGCAGCCGCTGCCGCCGCCGCCGCGGCGGCGGCGGCAGGGCCCAGCAGCGCAATCAGCGCGGCAGGTCCCTTCCTAGCCTTACGCGCCGCAGCTGCGGCAGCCCCGCCTGCGGCCTCGAACTCCCGGCGTCGCTTGGCCGCCTGTAACAAGTTATTTTGGATGACAACCACATCTTGATGACCATTACAACGATGCAAGCAGCAGCTAACCACCAACCACCGACGTACAAAACCAGAAACCGTTTGGAAGGCCCCCATCTCACAAGCAGGTATGTGCCTATCTTGATAGACATATACATACATACACTACGACACTCGCGCACACACTCAAAACACACTCCCAACTTGTTGACTTAGATACGACGGAGCGAAGCGATCGGAGTCTCTAAGTCTGGTTCTGTGCGACTGTCGTACAACCGTATTGGAATGGCGAGTACTAATTGCTTCAGCTCTTTCGTTTCAGGCATTCTGCCTTTCACTCAGTAGAGCTTCAGCTTGTAGCTGACAGCTTTCTCTTTTTGCTGTTCAATCTCGGATAGAGCATCGTGCTCGCCATCGAAGCCCCACCTAGTCATCACCATCTGTTTCAAGTTCCTGTAGTCTTTCGTTTTCTAATGTCAGCGTTGAACAACGAGCAAGTGCAGCAAAGGCAAGGTACGGCCGCCCAAGATGGCGCCAATTTAGTGATCAACGCCACCACCGGCTTTGCGGGTCCCTCCACCAGCGAGGCTGGTGGCATCACTTTCCCACCACTCCCCAACCGAACTTCTCCACCGGCCGGCAGCCCCGCCACTGGAGCGGCGGTGGTTACCACCGCCATCCAGCAGAACATAACTCCATTGCAGCAACAGATGGCAGAGCAGAGCCAGCTTTTGGCCTCCATGGCCAAGGTAATAACAGCGGGTCAAAATCCGGCAGCCACTGTGCTGTCGCCAGCCCAGGCCGCGGCGGCATCGGTCGCACCCGACAAGGCTAAAAGGAGCAAAGAGAAAAGGAAGAAGAAGGAAGAAAGCTCCAGCTCGAGTTCATCATCAAGCAGCGACGACGAAGCTCCGGAGAGATTGCGGCGCCTGGTGGACCGAATCGAGGCCCAACAGCCCACTGACCCGTCGGGCTTCCGCAAGCAAATTTTCCATGGTTTTGCCACGCAGGGCAAACTGGCTTTAGCATTGCTGGCAGAGGATCCGCCGAATGTCAAGGGCGCCACTAAGGTTCTCAAGCCTTTGATTCGCCGTGCGGAGGTCGGCATGGCGGTCACTAACACCTTGGCGGCCGAGCCGCGCATTGGCCTCGCTGCCGCCGACATCTGCTTCAGCATTTTGTGTAATGAGGACAAGTTCCGGGACAAGACAAAACCCCGAAAATTGGTAGACGGCGTCAAGGACCAAGCGCTAAAGCGCGCTGCCAGCCGCTCAGGTGGGGGAGCAGGCGGTCACGGCACTGGCGGTGATGGAGCAGGCGGCTCGCGAGGGGGTGGAGCGCGCGGCGGCTCTGGGTATGACTACAGGAGGCGCGAAGATGATGCCGGCCGTAATGCGAGAGATGAAAAGCGGCGGCGTTGAGCGTTGTACACAGGCCTGCGCGCCTTTGGTTTTCGCCTTTCTGCGAGCTGCACCTTCATTCGCTTTGGCTGTCTGGTTGTGCGCCCGCGTGCGCGTTGACCTCATCTAGTGCGCCCGTGTGCGCCTTGGCCATTTGGTTGTGCGCCCGCGTGCGCGTTGGCCCCGTCTAGTGCGCCCGCGTGCGCGTTGGCCTCGTCTAGTGCGCCCGCGTGCGCCTTGGCCCATCACTGTGCGCCCGCGTGCGCTTCGGCCTCACCTGCTGTGCGCCCGCGTGCGCCTAGGCCCCATCGCTGTGCGCCTGTGTGCGCGTCATGACTTTGGTTGTCAAGCTGCCTTTGGTCGTGGACAAGGCCTTGGTCTTCTTTGGAGAATTATGGAGCGCGCTCGCGCTTGTCTTTCGTGGCCCGTCCTTCACGTCTATGAGTTTTTTGCAGTCGCTTTCAAGGTCGGCGTAGGCCATCTATCAAGAGAGTTCCCCCATGTTCGTTTTCGGGACGGAGGCCTTTTCTCGCTGGTGTTAACAGGCGGTTGGGCAGGTTAATTAGCCGCTCTTTCTATGAAAGGCTCTGGCTCTTTTCCGGTTTGTGGCGTTGGTGCTGTTCTGCACTATTTTTTCGTTCTTGTGGCGAGGCGGCTCGCCGGCCGGTGGAGAAGGACTTTCCATAGCTGTGACCTATCAGTTCTCACGCTTCGGTTTCTCTCTCGGTTATTCGGTACTTGTTTTCGCGCGGTCAGGCGATATCTGTAGTTACTCTGGTTCTCGCCCTTTGCCTCTCTTCGCCTCGCTCCGCAGTCGCATAAGGGATCGCACAACCTCAACCACACCATGACCGACGCCGACGTGGACGCCTTTCTTAGCCTGATCGGTTCAGAAACAGAGCTAGACCCAGTCGTACTAGCAGACGTGCAACGCGCGCTGGAGAGCAACGCCCAGCAATTTGGGGATCAGAAGTCTTCCAAGGCTGTACCGGACTTTGCAGCAGGCCAGCTCAGCGACACTCAACCAGGAAAACGGCTAGCGGTTCAGAAGGGCACGACGAGACACCCAGTGGTCACCCAGGCACCCACAGACACAGCACCAGTTCTGCACAGGAAACAACCGGCGCGGTCTGCTGATGATGAGAAAGGTGGGCCCGGCGAACAGCACGGGCTCTGGGGGGACGAAAAAGGCGAATACGCAGCTAAGTTTGCTAGCGGAAACCAACCACCCTCTGGCGTCCCACGTTCGCCAACCCCAGCACCCGCCCAGATGCACGGCAGGCTCCGACGCTGCGCACCTGCCTGGAAGGCGTGGGTGACCAATGCCCTTGTCCTTTCCTGGATCGTTAGTGGGTTTCCCCTGCGTTGGGAGAAGGGGACCCCACCTCCTCCGTCTTTCGGCCAGAATCACGCCTCCGCGGATGAGCATGCAACCTTCACTGATCAAGCCGTGGCAGAGTTAGTGGCCTCGGGCACTGCCAGAGTTTGGCCGACTCAACCTCGCGTGGTTTGCCCGTTGGGGGTCGTGCAGCAAACAACTAAGTGTCGGCTCATTTGGGATGGGCGCCCAGTGAATAAATATCTTTCTATTCCGGAGTTTCGCTATGAAGATCTCAGAGCGGTGCCTGGCTGGCTGCTCCCGAATGACTTTATGTTTACGATCGACCTCAAGAGCGGCTACCACCATCTAGACATCGACCCATCCTTCTGGGAATACCTGGGGTTTTGCTGGCGCGGCGTCTTTTATGTTTTTACCCAGCTCCCCTTCGGTTTAGCATCCGCGTGCTGGGCTTTCACCAAACTCATGCGAGAGGTCATGCGCCCCTGGCGTGCTCGCGGATGGCGCTGCACTGGCTACATAGACGACCAAGCTCACGCCGGTCAGGATGCAGCTCAGCTGGTAGCACGGAGGGCAGAGGTGGTGTCCCAGCTCGAAGCCCTCGGTTTCATAGTCAACCGGAATAAATCCATGCTGGGCGCAGTTCAGCAAAGAATCCGTTACCTGGGCATGTTGATTGACACCGCAGAAGGGGTTTTTATCGTTCCTGAGGATAAGAAAGATAAACTCCTCTCCACCATTAGTTTGTCTCTCAGTGGGCGAAGAATCCCGGTGAAGGCTCTCGCTTCGATTAAAGGCCAAATCCTGTCGATGTCTTGGGCTTTTGGACCCTGGTCACGCCTGCGAACCCGCGCGATAGGCCACCTCATCGAATCACGGACGACTTGGGGGTCCCACCTCTCCCTGTCCCCAGCCGCGAGGGAGGAGCTAGAATTCTGGCTGAAGTCCTTCGATAAATTCAACGGCCGTCGTCATTTATGGGTTCCCACTCAGGTACACTCTCTAATCTTTTGCGATGCAGCCGGCAAGTCTGCAGCTTCCTTAGGCGGCTGGGGCGCATGGACAGTTCTGGATGGCAAACCTATCGCGGCCCGAGGCAGCTGGCAGCCCAACGTTAGCGGGATGGGGTCCACACCGCAGGAGCTCCACGCCATCCTTCTAGCTATCCAGTCCTTCAACCGACCCGCGGGTCTATCTGGCAGGACAGTCAAGGTGCTGACGGACAACCTCAACGCCGCTAACATCGTCAACAAAGGCTCAGCAAAAGCCGATAACTCCTATGCGGTTGCCTGCGAGCTGCACGAATTCTGCTTCGAACAGGACATCCGTCTGCAGGCCGAGTGGCGGCCCCGAGAAGAAAACAGGCTTGCCGACTTCCTGTCGAAGCTGAAGGATACTGATGACTGGATGCTCCAACCCACCGTGTTTCGTACACTCAGCGCTAAATGGGGGCCTTTCGACATAGACTTATTCGCTTCACACACCAACCGACAGCTCCCAGTTTGTTATTCCAGGTTCTTCACGCCGGATACCGCGGGGGTCGACGCATTCCGTTTCAACTGGGGGCGCAGCTGCTGGGCAAATCCGCCTTTCAGCATGATACTCAAGGTGCTCCTGCACGCTGAGGCCTGCAAGGCCCGCATGTGCTTGATTGCACCCCACTGGCCGACCCGAGATTGGTGGGCCAGGATCACCACTGATGGCGTCTGGTTCGAACCCTTTATTCACGGAGTTATGACGTTGGGCCGTGCTGTGGATTTGTTCTTGCCCGGCTCTAACGGTAACACGGCCCCAAAAGGCGCGGCGGCTTGGGCAACCCTCGCACTTCTCATTGATTTTTCAACCCCCAGCAAATCTCGCATTCGCGTCCCCGCTGATCCGGTCACCCGCCGCCTGCAGATCTAGCCGCACGTGCAGGGGCTCTGTTGGAGCCTCTGGGGGATTGCGTCACCGCAGACCTCCAAGCTCTTGCCGCGCAGCTGGCGCAGGAGGCCCCAGAATCATTGGCAGCCAGGACCACCAAGGATTACGCTACCGTATGGCGCCAGTTCCGCAGCTGGTGGGAGGCACACAATTTCCCGTGGGACATCTACTCCACGCCGGGGGAACTGGTAGCCCTCTACCTTCTGGCCCTACTCAACACGTCCAGGGCCGACGGCGTCGGACCTGGCCGCGTTCGCCTTGCCAGCGCGGCCATAAGCACCTATTTCCGCATGGCTGGCAAGGCAACTCCCACAGAACACGCAGCCTGCGGTATCGTCCGTACTCTAGCAGAGAAGCGCCTCCATGGTCGACCGCTGCAGCGTGACGCCTTAGAACCGGAAGACATTGCGGCCCTGGCTCGCTTAGTCGAGGGCCCAGAGGTGCGGCTCGACTACCTGATGATGGTGGCAGCGGTGGCCATCATGTTTGCTGGTTTCTTTCGGTTCGACGACGCTGCCGAAATTTGCGTGCATGTGGACTTGCTGTTGATTTCTGCATCCCACATGGAGATCTTCATTCCCCGCTCGAAGACAGATCAGCTCATGCGGGGCCACTGGGTAGTCATCGCACGCTCCGGTGGCCCATGCTGTCCAGTCGGTCTTACCGAGCGTTTGCTGGAGCTAGGTGGCTACCGCAGACAGCCAGTATCAGTAGATGAAGATGTAGGACCGCTCCTCCGACCGGTTCAATGGACGCAACGTGGCGGGTACCTCTCGGGTCCTCTGACCGGTACACGAGAAGCTCCAGTGCATTCGCTGTCCTACGCGGCTTTCCGCACACGACTGTTAAAAATGGTACCCTTGGCTGGCATCAAGAGAAACATTACGGCACACTCCATGCGTATAGGCGGGAACAGCACGGCAGCGGACCGTGGAGTGCCGGCGGAACTGCGCAAGGCTCACGGCCGTTGGCGCACGGACGCCATGGTACAGCACTACACGCGGCGCGACACTGCAGCCAAACTCGAAGTCTCCCGCCGCCTAGGCCTCGCCGGTGAGTGGGTATCTCTTCGGTCTGCAGTGTAAGGGCCCTTGGCAGCCTGTCTCCCGGTTTTCCGCCTCTATCATTCCTCGCACTGTCAGCCAGCATGTTCGAGTCGACATAGCCATGAGAATACGGTTAAGGGAGACAGGAGCACAGAATTGTTGACTTAGATACGACGGAGCGAAGCGATCGGAGTCTCTAAGTCTGGTTCTGTGCGACTGTCGTACAACCGTATTGGAATGGCGAGTACTAATTGCTTCAGCTCTTTCGTTTCAGGCATTCTGCCTTTCACTCAGTAGAGCTTCAGCTTGTAGCTGACAGCTTCCCGCCCACCTTCCCCCTTCGCTTCGGGGTCGATATCTCTTCGTTCACCCCTCCCCTCTTTTTTTTTTTCCTTCTTCGCTGACCAGTTTCAGGCACCTCCGCACCGGGCTCGGCTAGCGGCGGACAGGTAGACGATGCCCGCTGAGGAGTGGCTTGTCAGCAGGCGGGCCGACAGCAGAGACTTGAGCCGTTCTGGCTGCAGTTGGGTCGTTTTAGCCTTGATGAGTGGTCTTGGGAGTCCGTGGAGAGGGCGCTCTTCGCTTCGGTTCAGTCGGTCTCCGGGTCGGGCTTTAGCACGTTAGGGTCGCCGTTTTTGTGTTTGGTAGTGGTGGTCGTTGGGCGTCCTTTGGCCTAGCGTCTCGTGTTGTCTGTCGCGCGCGCGCGTTTTTCCCTGGGGGTGTGTGTGTTGTTGGCCGCGCGGTACCGGTGCGGTGGCCGTAGGGGCCGCTTTCGCGCGGCCATTCGGTTGGCTTGAGTTGTGTTCTACTGCAGTGTAAGGGCCCTTGGCAGCCTGTCTCCCGGTTTTCCGCCTCTATCATTCCTCGCACTGTCAGCCAGCATGTTCGAGTCGACATAGCCATGAGAATACGGTTAAGGGAGACAGGAGCACAGAAACACATACAGACATACACACACACCCAACACAACCCAACACAACACATAGACACACACAAACACAAGAGGTGGTACACAAACGACCGTGATAAGATGCGCAAGGTGAGAGGTAGTTAAAAAATCGCCTCCCACGCTCCCTCCCGCCCACCAAAGAACGCGACCCCCCCCCTGTGCCCTTCCTTCCAATCGCCGCGCCTTCCTGACACCAGCTCCCCCACGTCTTTCCCCTCGGGCCCGGCCGATACACCTGCCGATGCATCTTCAACACACACCCCCCCAACAACGACAAGGCGGTGGCGGAGGACATACCTTGATCAGCGGCGTGCAGCGATCCACCAGCACTTGGGCCGCGTACGACACCGCCGCCTCCGTCGGGCCCGCCGGCCCCGCCGCCGCCAGCGCTCTCCGCAAATCGCGCAGCCACACGGCGCGCTCCCGCGCAGAGCGCCACAAGGACGCGCCCTTGGACGCGGAAAAGATGCGAAGGTTAAGCACCGCCTCGCCGTCGGGACCGGCCGATAGTACGGCATCCGTACTATTGCGCAGCCGCTCTTCCTCGTTGTCGCTGTCTTCAAGCTCGTCAAGCGCGGCTACCTGAAGGAGGAGACGGCGAGACGGCGGCGCCGTTACGGCCGCCGTCGGGCGGTGAGGCTGTACGGAATGGCACGGCGGCTCGTCCACCGCCACCGACTGAGCGGCAGCAGCGTTGGTGTGGTGGTTCAGTGCCGCCGGCGCCGCCTCCGCCGCCTCCGCCGCCGCCTCCGCAACATCCATCGCATCTGCCGCTGCTGCGGCCCTATCGGCGGCTGGCCCCAGGCTGACTGCGGCGGCGGGCGCTTCCGTCACCACCGGTGGTGCCAAAGATGCCGTACAGGAGCCAGGCGCTACTACTACATGAGCGCGGGGGATGCGCACCCGGCCCCTGAGAAAGGGAAGATGGAGAGCGGTAGGGGCGTTGTGAGAACCTTCGATTAGAGGTCAGTGGCGCATTATTGCTAAAAGCATCAATTGCATCAACCTGCAACAACACGACATAACACAACACGTCCTTACCGGCTGGTTAAGGACGCCGCCGCCACCACCTCCGCTGCGGTCTGTTGCGGTGGCGGCGCCGGAAGACCCTGCAGCGCTGCAACCCCGCCGCCCTGCTGGCCTTCCGTACCCTCACCAGCCTCCCCCCCGTCCGCTGCCGCCGCCCTCCCTGCCGCCGCCGCCGCCACCGTCCCCTCCGCGGAATGGCCCACCGTCGTGGCCGCCTCCGCTGTCGGCCTGTCGCCGGAGCCTTGCACCTGCTCCGCTGCCGCCGCCGCCGCCGGTGGCGGAGGTGCCGCCGCCGCCGCCGCTTCCGCGGCCTGTTGCTGTTTCCGCTGCAGCCGCTCAAGCTGCTCCGTGTACGACGGGTCCAGCGGGGACAACATAAACTCCGGATCGTACAGCTCCACCTCCGAAACCACGGGTGCAAGGTTGGCGTCGTCGGCGCCGACGGGAAGTCCTTCACCCAGAACGTTCAGGGCAGCCTGCCGTACATAACACAACATAACACACAAACAGACAAACACACACAAACAACAATCAAGGTCACCGTACCAAAATAAAGTAATTGGGAAGAGTAACAGAGAGGCGGTAAGAACAGCCAACATGGCAAGGCTTTAGGAGGACTTACTACACGCAGACGCAAGAGCTCTTGGAAGCTCCGCCCGACCAACCCGACCCGACCCGGCGAGAGAGTCCGTCAGCAGATTACTCGGGCAGCTGTGCAGTGAAGGGCAGCTCTGCTCCAAATTTTCGAAATTCCACTCCTCCCCCAAAGCTGCCTCACGCACCCACCTACCTCTAGCTGCGTCAGCAACTGACCAAGCGCCCACCCGTCGCCGTTAAACTCCATCGCGGCCAACCGAACACGCCACGCCTCAAAGCCGTCAGCGGCGGCGGCGCCGCCGCCGCCGGGGCCGCCGTCGGGCGCACAGGTGGCGTCGGGGCTTGAACTCACGGCACTCGCCGCCGGTGCCTCAGCCGCAGGTACAGCTACAGCTGCAGCCGCAGCACCGCCGTCGCCACCGGTAGGGGTGGTCGCAGAGGGAGCAGCAGCGGCGGCGGGAGGCCCAGCCGGCGGCGCCGTCAGGTGAAAGCCCGCCGACGCAAGGCCCGACAGCATGCCGAGCAGCTCCGAAACCGCGCGTGACAGCACAAAACGTACCCGCTCCGCCTGTGCTCGGAAGGAGAGGTCCACGACACGTAAGATCATTCAGAAGCAGAGGGTTACGAGGAAAAAGAGTACGAGCACAAAAACATTATTTACAGAATGACACCTGCGGTGGAGGGGCCCGGGTGAGGGAAAGCAAATGGCGCTTCCACCGCTACCTCCGAATGAACACGGCCGTCAGGTATAGTCTCTAGATGGATAGATGGACAGATAGATAGATATGGATAGATAGATAGGAGGATAGATAGAAAGATAATGAATAGATAGATGGATGCATAGATGGATTGATGGATACATGGGCGGATAGATAGATAGATAGATAGATACTCCCTTCCACGCCCTCAGAACCAAAACCACATTCATTTCCGCACCTGTAAAACCTCCATCGGCCGCATTTCCTGATCAGGCTCCGGAAGGTGAAATATTCGCCGGCCTCGTCGCAGCCAGAAACTATCTCGCGGCACATGGGCCCCACCCAACAACTCCAAGATAGCAGTCGTCACCGGAGGCAACTGCTCCTGCTCCTCTTCCTCCCTCTGTGCCGCCTCCTCCTCCTCCTGCTGCTGCTGCTGCTGCTGCTGCCCCTCCCCACGCTTCTCTTCTTCCTTCCCCTCCTTCCCCTCCTCTTCTTCCTTGCTTACTGTCGGTCCATTGGTCCCCGACCGGCTGCCTCCGCCGCCCTCCTGCACCAGGTGGGCTTCTACCGGACCGTTCACCCGAGGCTGCTGCTGCTGCTGATGATGATAATCCATTTCCATTGCCGCCTCTTCCTCCTTCTTTACGACTACAGTACCGGGCGTGGAGTTTTCTGTGGCGATTGCGGCGTGTGGCTGTTCTTGTGGTCCCGGGTGTGGCACGCCGTTGGCAGTGGCAGCAGCGGTAGGCGTGGCAGTAGCAACGGCGGGGGCGACGGGGGGGGCCCCTGGCTCGACTTTCACTGCCGCACCGCCGCCCTCGATGCATGCATCAACTGCCTCCGCCTTTGCTTCCGTCGGTGTCGGCGTCGGCGGCGTCGGCGACTGTGTCGATTCTGGCTTTATGACTTCTGGCGCCGTTTGCGCCGGCGCGGCCTTGAACTCGACAGCTGTATCCGGCCCTGTCGCCTTCGATGGCGGCGGCGGCGGCTTCGAGTCCACCTCCATATCGTCTGCGGCGGTGGCGCCGACGCCGCCGCGTGTCGTACCACCGCCCATGTCCATAGACTCCGTAGCTTCAGAGTCGTCGTCGTCAGCGGTAGCGGCGGCCCGAGCCTGTGCCCGCGCGCGGGCCATGGCAGCCGCCGCTGCCGCCGCCGCCGTCGCAGCGGCGGCAGCAACGGCAGCTGCCGCGGACGCCCTGCCGGCCTGCGGCGCCGCCGCCGGTCCCAGGTCTTCCGTCTCCGTCGACGGCGTCGGCGGTGTTGGCGGCGTCGGAGGCGTGGGCGGCTCGGGTGGCGGCGGCGGCGGTGGCGGCGGCGGCGGCTGAAGTGCCGCCACCAGCTGGGCGTATTTTCGCCGCAATACGGTAAACAGCTCCCGTTCCCTGCAAAGGCAACGATGCGCCCGCAGCTTTACACCCTACACAGCGTTCATTTGCTTCATGACACAGCCCCTCATGACACAGGCCCTCATGACACAGGCCTGTCACCACCCCCCGGGCTGAGGAACCTTGTCATCCCCTCCTCACCCCTTTTTTCTCCCTCTCCACCCTTATCCCAGTCCCAGTCTCACCCTTCCCATCGGCGTCTTTTTCGTATCCACCCGTAACCCCCAAAACCACCCGTAAGATCCTAGAACTTTTCCTATCCGTAAGATCCTAAAACCCTAAAATCCTAAAACCCTAAACCGTTAAAACCCCTTTGAAACCCGTCACGCACCTGGGACCCCGCCGATTGAGGCCTTCAAGGAATGCATCCAGCTCAGCACGACTCGACACAAGGCCCACAGTGGGCTGCTGACCAGGCATGGCCGGCGGCGGGGCCCCAGCCGCCGCCGGCCCTGTCCCTCCATCTTCCACACCGCCTGCCGGCGCCGCCGCTGCGGGCACAGGCGCCTGTGCCGCGGCCCCGTCTGCCGTCAAGGTGGCGACCGCGGAATCTTGTCCTAGGGTGTTACTTCCCGCGGCGCTGGCGGCGGCGTCCACAGCAGCGGTGGGAGGGTGTGGTGCTGCCGTCGCCGCGGCCGCCGCGGTGTAGTGCGCGGCGATGTGCGCGGCGTGCTGCGCGTGCTGCGCTGGCGGCATTCCGAGGCCGTGTTCTGGCTGCGAGGTGTCCTCCACGAACAGCAGCGGCCCGGCTCCCCCGATCAGCCAGTAGCGCCGGTGGTACCTGCAAGCGGCCGGAGGGAAGGGGGACAATACGTGTAGTGACAAGAAAACAGAGGTAACGGAGGTATGCGAGGGATGATGATGATGGTGATGATGATGGTGATGGTGGTGATGGTGATGATGATGGTGATGATGATGGTGACGCGCAAGTCAGAAAGACCCAATTGCCGCCCAATTTCGGACGAAAACCGCATACCGCGCCATCGCCACCAAAAGCCACCAAACTACTTCAACTTCCAATCCCAACTCCCAACAACCAACCTAACAAACAAACCAGCATGAATATCCTCAGGGGAAAAAAGTCCCCCTGCCTACCTGTCGCTCCCAATCGCCTCCAACCGCACCGCCACCTTTCGGAGCTCCGCCTCGTGGGTATTATCCCGGGCGAACCACTCCTCCTCTCGAGCCCGGAGCTCCGCCTCCGTAGCGCCCCGGGAGCGCTTGCGCCGCTGCGGAGGGCGGGAATTCGTTTTCAAGATGATGACCATGATGATGATGGCGATGATGATGATGCATATTCATGATGGTGCACAAAGCAAAGAAGCAAAACATCAAAATTGCTGTTGCGGGTGACGAGAAGGCAAAGAGGCGTGCGCGTATGTGCTTTGTGTGTTGTCTTTTGTGCATGCGTGCACAAGTGTGTGTGTGTGTGTCCTGAGTATATACTGAAGTATATACATAGGTCAGGCACTATTGGTAGAGCACGTACTTATGTCCCCGGAGGTTCCGGGATCGAGACCTGTCGGGGTCAAAAATCCTTCCGATGGTGGAAGGTAAAACCGCCCCTAGTCGATGGACGGTGGTGACCTAGGATAAAGTTAACCCGCGAGCCGACCAGGAACGGAGTTGAGCCGCCGTCGACCCGGCAGATTCGGTTGGATGCTGGTGGTGGGTGCGGAACCTGAGCGATCCACTGAGAAGTTGGCTAGGGTGATTGGATGAGGGTGCCCCGAAACACCGGGGAAGGCAGGGTTTCGACCAGGGTAGCGGCCGCAGGGTGAAGATATGACCCCCTGTCCCACACATCATACTGAAGGTTGGGAAATGTTCTAAGGGTCCACCGGCACACTTCCGGAGGCTCTCCGCCCATATACCTGTGACCTTCAATGCCCTGGTGCCTTGCTCCCCCCCTCCCTCCCCCCTCCCCCCCCTCTCTCTCTCTCTCTCTCTCTCTCTCTCTCTCTCACACCACCATCACCACCACTCCCCTACCCAGCCGCGTGGCCCCCGGTCCTCTACCGCAGAGCCCACAGCCCCAGTCAGGGCACCTGTCATCATCAGGGGGTCGGGACCACTCACCCCCTGCCCGCCATCCTCTGGCGCAGAGTCATCGCCTTCGTCACCGGCTGAGTCGCCGCCGTCGTCCTCATCGTCCCCGCCAACAATCCCAGGCGGCCCGGGGGGTACCACCGCAGGCGGCGGCGGCGGCGGTTGCACCGACGCCACGGCCGATAGCGGCGGCGTCGCCGCCGCAGCTGGGGCCTCCAATCCCCCCGCGTCGCCGTAGCCGCCGCCGCCACCGTCTTCATCCTCCGCCAAGACGCCACCGCTTGGGTGTGACGTCAGCCCCGGCGTCCCGACCACCATCTCATCGCCGCTGCCGCTACCGTGTCCCCCGGCGGCGCAA